TACTTTTAAGTTAAGCAGTAATTTCACATTTATTACTTATATTTAGATTATATCTACATATATAATTTTTTAATTTAATTATTACGTTATCAATTTGACCATTAGTCCAACCCAGTTGGATGATGCGAACCATGAGCTATTGACCTTTTTGGTTCAATATCCAATCTAGTGATGAAAAGATTGATTTTGGTCAAACTTAAGTTCTAATCGATAGTTTTAACGATCAACATTTGAATATTTAACGTCAAGGGCAAATATGTTATGTTTTAATTATTTTAGAGGCAAAATTTTGATGACAAATAATTTAAGATATTGGATACTTTTCAAAGAATAGGTCAAGGTTAAAAACGCACATTAACGCTTTAATTAATTAGTAGGGCTGATAATATCATAAATTTATCCGATAATTTTATTGATATTAATACAAGGAACGGATAGTAGTAGGCAGGATAAGGCCAGCTTATTTAATTTTCATTTTTATTCAAATTTAATTTTTAGCCTTATAAAAACATGGCTAGATAGGTGGAAAATTATTAATATTTCTTTTAGGCGTGAATAGTGTGAAACACATTAGCTTGTCTCTATTTGTTGTTCTTTAGGATTTTTTTTAGTACAAAGCATTTTGTCTTTTGCTGCATTTCTAAGATTTTCACTTGGAAGAATTACATTCAAGAACTATTCAAATAAATTATTCATAAATAATGACTAATATAAAATGAATTGCTATTAAAATGGAAACGTGAATTTTTTTTAATTTAAAATGGAACTTGTTATCAATCTTTATTTGTAATTAATTTGTTTTGAGTGGTTCTTGAATACGAAATTACTCCTTTTCACTTTAACATGTCTTGAAGGTTAGGACTCAGTTTCCCCACACAGTGCATCATAGTGCTTCTAGAGCTTAGTACGATGAAAAAAAAATGTAAGCCTCTATATTATCGTTTCGTATGAAGTTACTTCAAAATTTGCTTCATAAGAAATATTAACAGATTGTGGACGAAAGGGTAAATTGCTATTAAAATGCACAGTGTCCCAACTAACTAGATTTACTAAGATTTATTGTAAATTCTCGTTCACCATTAAACTGGGCTCATGCATTTTTTTTTTTACTCCGCGAGACTTGTATAATCTTTTTTTTTTTTTGTTCTGGTTGAAGTAATTGTACTTGTATAATTTATAACAGTATAGCTAGTCAGGTTTCATCATGGAAAAGAAGCAGAGGGAAGAGGCCTCAGTGATACAGTGGTGACTGATCTTGCTTGCTCTGGGAAGACATGCTCTTACTATCATATAGGAGATGCTTTTATTTGTGAGAAGTAAGGACATGTGTTGTCAATTTTGTGTGTGTGTGTGTGTGTGTGTTTTAATTATGCACTACAGTTGTTCATTATGGTTGTGTCAAGATGAGAACTTAATTATTTTTTTTCCCCTTTCTATAGTATGTGATGATACGTGTATTAGAATGAACATGTTTTATATATTGATTTGTCTCATTCATTGTCACGTTCACGTCTTAGTTTCTGTATGAAAATATCCAAAATCAAGGGCTACTATTGTATAATTTTATTTTTTAAACAAAAACACAGAATTATGGCGATAGTTATGCGATAGAACTGTCGTCATAATTCACCTATTATGTGATAGGCCTTTTTTAACTATCCTGAAAATTAATTATTACTACTATTTTTTTTTTTCACTACATCTTGTATATTGTGGCAAAAATGCAAATTTAACCGTCGTAAGAATTAATATTTGCACTAGCGTATTCAAGTATTCAACAATAAGAAGACATGAGATTAATTCAGTATACTTTTAAAATTGGTATCCATGTATGCTAGGATAATTTTAATTTACTATTTCCATATAGGTAGTCTTTTTCCTCATCTGCCTCATCTTCTTCACTTTGCCATTGATTTCTCGTGCCAAGACTATCACATTTGATTCATCATCCTCATCTTCAATAGTCACTGAGCTTAACAATTCTCTCCATCTATATCTTGCTCTTCCTTTTCCTCACTCTTCTCATCCTCGCCATTATTCTCGTCATCATCATCCTCATCATCAAGCCCCAGTTCAAGATTCAACAGTTCGTCATTGTACTCTTCATTCGTCAATTTGCTTGTTATAGATATTGGACCCTCTTGACATCAAATTTTAAGAAGAGCTCAGACTATAAATTGTTTTAATTGATATCTACAATTTGTCTGTTATATATATATATATATATATATGCTTATTGCTCTTTGAGTAGTGACTAAGAAAATAGGATAGGATCATGATGATGTAGTGCCTATTTGGATTTTAATTGAATATAATAGGTTATGAAAATAATTGATTAAATAGTATATTTTAATCATAATTGATTATAGTATAACGCAATCTGTTTGGATATTGTTTTTCTAAAATTGATTTTAACAGAATTAAAAATATTTGGATAATTTATTCAGAATCAATTTTAGCTATATAAATTATCATAAATGACATTGCCTTTCAAAATTAAATTATTGATAAATTTGTATCTAATATTTAAAAAGTAAAATATATTATTTAAATGATATATTTGATTAATTATAAAAATTTAAATTATATTAATATTAACAATTTTAATTTACATAAATAAATAACTCAATATATCTTAATTCAAATAAATTTAATAAAAGAGAAAGATTTTATTCTTAAATACCAAACATCAACTAATGAAGATAATAATGTACAAGTTGATCTCTAATGACATTATGAATATAAGTCTTATCTAACAAAGATGTGAAGCACTGTTTAGAAATTTTGGCAACATAAAAAATGTAGCAATGTAACAAACGATGCAAAATCTCTCTCTCTCTCTTTGTACCTTTGTAACAATCTTTGTAATGACTCTCAATTTTAAATTAAATTAAATTAATTTTTTGCTACCAATTAGTATTTTAATTAAATTAGCTTTATAGCAAGTGCTAAGTAGAGGGTGTTGATTGATTTCGAATCTTACTAAATAAAAGAAGAGAAGAGAATTTGATTTTATTTTTATTAAATTTTGTGCTTCTCTTCCAATTTTTTATTGGGCCTTTCTTTGTCATTTTCCCCATTGCTTTTTGATAAGTTTTTTCGCAATGGCTCAGATTGGTAGCTTCTGAAAAAGATCCATTTTTCCCCAACAATTGATAAACCAAAAAAGTTGCTCTTTGAGTAACCTTTTTCATTAATCAATTTTTGGCCCCAAAAATCGATTGATGAAGCAATCCAAACAGGCACGTGCGTTGTGGAGGATCATCAAATTTTTTATTTTTATTTTTATTTTTTTGTATGGGAAGGATACAGTTTTCCTTAATATTACATCAATATTTTTCTATGTTCTTTATTTTTCATTCAAGTGAATGGGACTTGGCCGGTTAGAAAGAAATGAATAAAATGATTATATTGTAAAGTCAGTAACACGTAATCATGGACAAGGATGTTGATGCTTCAAACAAAAAGAGAAAGGAAAAGGGACAACGGAAGTAAAGGAGAGACATGAAAATTCACCCAAAAGGAAAAAAAAAAAAAAAAGGAGAGACATGAAATAAAACAATGTAGCCTAACTCAACATGCAATTTTTTTCTTTTTTACTTAAAGCAAGAAGAAAACTTTATTAGGGCCAAATACAGAACGCAAACAACACAGATGTGGAAAAAAGTGCAACCACAACTAAAGACAACCATAACTTCATTCAGAAGGAAATCTTCCAGTCAACTGATATGCAATAGAAAGCACGTTTCATTGTAAATTTTATTTAGATAATTTGTAAATTTTGGATCTCTTCTTCAACAAATGTAAATTACATAGACTATGTGAAATAAATGAAAGTTTTGTTATAAATAAAAGGACTGTAAATGCTATGTACGGAGTTTTTATTATAAATTTCATCTGGGAAATTACTTGTAATTTTTTTCAATAACTAACTATAAACTATGTAAAATTACTTGTACATTTCTCCTACTTTAACAAGTGTAAACCACATGAACTATGTAAAGTGAATCGATATTTTATTGTTAATAAATAACTTTAAATGTCATTTATAGATATTCTGTTATGCATTTCGCAAAAGAATAGTTTCATGTTTTTATCAAAAAAAAAAACTTAATTGCAAGAGAAATTTTTAGACCTATACAATTATATCAAATTTTATTGGACCTTTAATAAAAATATGTTGGTTCCACGGGCTTACAATGAGATTCTCCTGGCTGCAATATAGTAAAGCTGCTTTTGTTTTTTTGTAATTGCCTTTTTGTTAGGCAGACAGTTAAGTTTTAAGGAGATAAATTAATTTCAGTCCTAGCTAACTTTAGAATGCCAACAAAATTCTTTGATCCTTTAGTGATAATAAGCCTAATATTTCTATAAATTTGCAAATTTCAACTCTCAATCTTAAAACTTTAATATAATGTATTAGCAACTTATTTTTTAAATTTTAATAGGGTTGAAAAATAAATAATAGGCAATGGAGAAATAAAAGGTCTATTTATTTTATTGATAATTAGACAATAGACAAATAATAAACAATAGACTTAATATTTTTCAACATTAAATATTTCTTATTAACATATAAAAAATAAATTATAAATTCATTACAATGAAATCATAAAATTAGGAACCCAACTTGCAAGCAAATCTTTAAAATTATTAGATATAATACTTTTTAATATTTGTGTTTCTTACTAAAATTAGAAAAATAAATTGTAAATATATTACAACGAAATTATAAAATAAGGAGTTGAACTTGTAAGTTTTTGAAACTATTAAACTTAATATTTCTCAACGTTAAAGATGGACATTTATGTTCTGCCAGACTTATAACTACTAAAAGATTAAAAAATTTTGTTCACATTATAATTTTATAAAATTGATTAAGATTTAAATTAATTAATCTCACTTAAGTGTCATGGTGCCTTTTTATCGCACTTGAGGTCATGCTCTTTTTGCTTTAATAAAGCGATGGCATAATAGTAATTATCGGCACAACTTTATGACTTTTAAAGTCACGCTTCTTGATCAGTTTCTCCGACGACTGTGTTATAGTTTCTCTCGCGGCTCACTTCGCGCCTCCATCGCTGTCGTCGCTCGCTCAACTTGCTCTCACTTTCGTGCTCCGGTGACGGTGAGGTATATTATCTCTTTTATTCTCATCTCATTCATTCTCAGCTTCGTTTCCATCTCTTCAAGTCTGGGCATTCATGAAGGAATGCTTTCTGTGATCTGGGAATTACCTTCAAATTTGAATTGGGGAATTTGAATCATGCGCGATCGTTAAAATTGGTGTGGGTCGGGCCTGTAAATAGGGCCAGGTATTTTTAAAAAATCACTTGAAAAATTGCGGAAAATGATTTAAAAATAATTTTTTAAAAAAATTAATATCAATTAAGTTTTTAAAATAGTGCAATCATTTCTAACTCTTCCTCCAAAATTTACAAATATTATTATTTATAAATGAATGCATTTTGTACCTTAGTTATAAATTTTTAAAGAAGGATATATAAATTTTGGTGAAAGACTTATAAATTACACACTATTAATTTTTTTATAAGGTATTTATGTATTTTTTTGTCATTTTTGGTAATTTTTAATGTCTTTTTCTGCAATTTTTAAGTCAATTAACTAACATCTAAAGTTAACTTTTTAATAGCAAGATACCTAGTGCACCATTTTTAAATGTTAAAGAGAGAAATTACATTAAATCTAAATTTAGGACTCTTGGATCTCCCTAACAAATAGTTAAAGGGCAAAAATGTATTTTAATTGATGAATTTTTTGTTGAGTTGACTTTGTGGGTATTTAATCAATAAAATTATTGTGTATTTCAGATTTTATCTTTTAGTATATGCCCCCACACATCTATATCAACATTTTCATATTTGTTATTCTAACTTTATGCTCCAATTGTTCCTTTAAAGTTCAATAAAATTATTTCATATTCGAGGCTAATTGTCATTCTGATGGCAGATGGAAGAAACTGATTCAAAGATGTGGCCTGAGTTAATAGCTAAAGCTTTCATAGATATTATGGCTAAAGTTCAAATGAGTGAAGCACTTGCAATAAAGGCTGAAGCAAATAAAGGTGAGAGAAGTAAGGAGGCCACTTCTTCTTCACCAGATTATTCTCTTGCCAAGTGTGTGATTGCTCTTAATGAGATGGCATACCTTCAAGAAGATGCTTATATGGAAGCCTTGAAAACCCTGAAGAACGACCCTGAATGGAGAGAAATTTTTCTTAACATGACACTTTACAGGAAAAGGCAATGGGTACTTCGTGTTTATAGTGGACAGTTATGAGTCTTTATTTTGTTATTGAACTTTACGATTATGTCACTAAACTTATGAGTAGTTTGTGTTGGAGATCGGATTTATGAGCCTTTATTCTATTATGGAACTCTATGGTTATGTCATTAAATTTATACTATTATAGAATTGGCTGTACTTGATAGTTATTTTTGCCCATATTTAAAAGCCAACAATCATCAAGTAAGCTTCTATCATATATTGGGGATGCCTATATTTGATGGTTAAGAAACCATAAAATATTACGCTTAAATATTTAATGATTGTTACCAACTGTCATATATAAGTGCTTAGATTTGACCAATAGTAGAGTTATGATGGCATATTTGATGATTATAGTATATAACTGTCAAATATGCACCCTCATATTTAATGGCTACGGCAATAATTGTCAAATATACCCTTCATTTTTTTAAAAAATTGGGGGCTACATATTTCACAATCCTCTAAATCACAAACTAGAATACATGCATCTAGAATGCTTCTAATATTTTTCCAATTTAGAATGCTTGTAATATATAAATTAAAACTATTCAATTAAAAATATGTACAATAATTATGTTCATATATAATATTATTAAATCCTCCAATAATCTAAATTGAAGTTACCCCCTATGAATTTGTCACATATTGAGCCAAAAAATGTCATGAATCTTGACACTACTCCTCGATAATTTCATTGATGCTAGCATCCTTGAATACTTCACAATACGTGTCCGGGTAGTATATAATCAAAGAAAAATTAGTTGACTGATTTTTAATATTTTAAAAAAATTGAATTCCAATGACACACACACTCACACACACACACACACACACACACACACACACACACACACACACACACACACACATGCACATACCTTTGGAGGAATGACAGTCTATTAATGAGTTATGATATCTTTAATATGCCTCATATGGCAATATTCACAGTCTGGGCTATTATCCTTTTGTCGTCGGCACTTTAAAAAAACAATAAAAATATATTAATGAATTAGAACCAATAAACATATAATAAATTCAAAGGCAATACCTTAATTATGTTCCAACTATAGGCCTGATCATATTTCTTGCCTCTTGAAATACTGAGTTGCTTTTGGGTGCGATACAACATCACAACACTAATAAACAAACAAAAAATATTGATGTTTAGAAATTTGAACAACAAAAAATATATAAACTAATTAAGAAGCTTACTTTTTGAACATTTCCATCATATCTTGCTAATTACTTGGTAGCCCACCAGCAAAATCCAAGTGATAAAACCTTGGGCATGTACCAACCGATTGGTTGGCAATTAATATCCAATAGTTCCTAAAAGAATTTAAAAATGTTATAAGATGAAATCCTTAAAGGGAAATTAATTTGACAAGTTCAAGTAATTAACTCTTATCCTCACACGTAAGGTGCCAAGAATAACAGTTCCTTTGAAATGTTATTGTTCCTTGCCTCAAAATACTTGGATAAAGCAACTGATTGAGTTTCACAAATCTCGATAGATTGGTCAATGAGCAGCAATGTCATAAGGAATATAAAGATGAACTTTAAGACAAGGCTGACAGGGATGATGAAATTTTCATAGAGGTACCTAAATAAAGAAATCAAATATGTCAATATATTTGTTATAAAATAGAAATTAGTCATGCGAAAAATAAGTACCTCATATGAAAGTGAACAACGATTTGGCTAATCTCCTTGTGTTTGAGAACCTCAGTGATCACTCTGATCCTGAGCATATCTCCTTAATCTTTGTTGTATATGTCGTGATTGAATGGGACCAACATTGTAGGATTTTTAGTCCTAAACATAAGGGCATACGCTTCAAGTACATCTTGCCATCTCATTGACAGTTGAGATACACTTGTCAAGGGTAGTCCAGTAACCTTGGATTCACATGCTAAGTTTTTAGGGCTGTCTTACCCCTTGGACTATAAACCGGTAGTATCACTTATGAATGAAAAGAAATTATGTATATACTTTATATGAGATAATGCTAACTAAGATACTTTTTTTGTCTTTTCTTCATTGTCTACTAATAGAATGAGATTCCTAGGCCATGCAACAAAGGAGACTACCACGGCGGGTATGCTTGAATTATAGAGAGAAAAGAGAGAAGAGAGATGACAAATAAAATGGTGGGTGAGTTTGAAGAAGATAAATAGGCAGATTTAAAATCAATGTATTTGACAGTTGCCCATTTTAATCATCAAATATATTCCATAAAGTTACAATTCTTTAAATAACCATCATATATCAAGCATCATATATGCTTGATTTTGTAATAGTGTTAAGAGTTTGTGTTTTTATTCTACTATGGAACTTTGTTTATAAACTATGTTGTGTTTAGATCAATGAAAGTTTAGATTTTACCAAGTTCCTCATGATACTGAAAAATTCATAGATTCATTCATTTCTTATTATAATTCTTTTGTAATTTCAAATCATTCTTATATTTTAGTCATTTAAAATTTTAGTTTCAAGCATATCATTTTTTTTGTGTTTTTCACTATCAATGTTCTTGCCACTCTTGCATCTTTTCTCATTTATTGTTTTCCTTTTTCATTGATTGAAAAATAAAAGGAAGCTTATCACTTTTAATTTTTTGTTTTCTCTTCAAATTCAATGTGTCCCACTTTCAAAAATTTTTAAATGTTAATGAGCATTCTGGACCCTAAAATATTACGCGAAAAGTGACATAGACCTTAAACTTCTAAAATATGCAAATTGGATGTTGAACTTCTAAATTTATAGCAAATTACCTGCCACTATTAAGTTATACTTAATGTCATTACTATTTACCATACTATTCTACATAGGGCCTAGTTAAATGCTGACGTGGCAATCCCTTGTTGATGTATCATTTGTTAATGAGCACTACAGACCCTAAATTATTGCACGAGTAGTATCCTAGACCCTAAACTTTGAAATCTAGAGCAAATTATCCCACTATTTACATGTAAAACATTGATTATTATGTAGATCAAATTAGCCTCAGCATGGTTACCGTGATGAACGCATTGTTAGTCACAGCAAACAACCCATAATTTTGTGAAATGATGTTTTCTCCCCTTTTTTGCAATTTTTCTAGATAATTAGTATCTCATATTTTCATATACTCTATAACTTTGATTTAATCTTATTTTGAATAATGCATATTTATTTAATAGTGAAAACTTGAGATCCCATTTGAAAAGAAGTTTAAGTATCAGAGAATTTTATAGATGATGGATGCAAAAGTCGATAATTTCATCAATGAATTTCAAACTCAAATTAACCAATTAATTACAATCCTTTGATATTTAGACTTATTTTCTAATGGGATTCCAATTTTTTACCATTAAATAAATATTATTTAAAATAAGACTAAATTAAAGTTATAGAATATACAAAAGCATGAGATACCAATCATTTAAAAACATTAAAAAAAGGGGGCAAAAAAATTATTTCATAAAATTATGAGTCTTTTGTCACAGCCAACAATGTGTTCACCATAGTGGATCACACTGAGGCTAATTTGGTTTACATAATAGTTAACATTTTACACATAAACAATGGGGGTAATTTGCTCTAAAGTTCAAAGTTTAAGATCCAAGATGCTACTTGTGCAATAGTTTAAAGTCTGTGTTGTTTATTAACAAATGATGCATCATAAGGGACTACCATATCAGCATTTAACTGGGTCCTATGGTGAACAATAACATCATTAAGTATAAGTTAATGATGGGAGTAATTTACTATGAATTTAAAAGTTCAGAATCCATTTTACATATTTTAGGAGTTTAGGGTCCATGGCGCTTTTTGCATAATACTTCAAGGTCCAAAATATTCATTAACCCAATTTTTAAATACATGAATTTCAAATGTGAGATTTTAAATATGAGAGTTTAAATTTAAAATTTAACGATTCAAATACTATCTTGTAAAATATTTCTAAGTTACTTAATGCATAGTTCAATTCTTGGACGTGTGTATAAAGAGTATTGCTTGGAAGAGAACAACCCCTTACATGGTATTCAAATTTCTAGAGGGATTAGTTTCATAGTTGTCGGCTATAGGGATAATTTGAGCAATTTAGAAAGTTGTTAGTTATTTTTTAATTTGTTGAACAAGGAACATAGAAATATTCCTAATTTATTACTTTAAATTTTATATATTTACAAGCAATAGAACAATACCATGAGTAGTAAAGAGAACAAAAAGAGCCAAGTCGTGAGGACTATAAGTGAAACCCAGTTGACTCATAGTTTTACTGAACTTAGAAAATCATGCACAGGGAGCCTGCTTGAGCCTATACAAAGGTCAACGAAGATGATGGACCTTGTTTGTCAGATATTGATATTCGGGTAGAGGCTTCATATACATTTCTTCCTCTAGATCTCCATTTGGAAATGAATTTTTAACATTCATCTAATAAAGTGGCTAATGCTTAATAGTAGCAATAGCTAGAAGGTTTCAAGCATAAGCCATATAGGTAATAGGTGTATAAGTTTCCTCATAATCAACACTATACTCTTGAGTGAAACCTTTGACCACCAAGCAGGCCTTACATTACTATCAGAATGAGACTTATTCTTATAGACTTAGTGGTACCCAACCTAAGTTTTACTAAGAGGAATGCAATATCCTTCCTCTTAAATCATAATTAACTATAAATCTCCATAATTAAGAGATTGACTTAAGGTAAAAAAAATAAATTTACCAAGTTCGCAAATGTGTCATAAAGATGGGATCTCAAGTTTTCAAAAATGATTCTATCTAAAGAGGATTTCCTAAGGACAAATTAGAGTTAATAACTATGCAGAAGCATGGCATCGTTCTAAGAATCAGTGCATTTGCTTAGAAATCATAAAATAATAGATCTCTGCACAATTTGAGGAGTATGCCACGACTTGTTGAACATGCACCGTGGCTTGTTCACCTTTGTGCCATGTGCCACAGTGCATTGCACGTTTCATGACAATAGATTTCTGCTGTCAAATTGACAGCTTTTGGGGGCAACTTCTAACCCATCCCATTTCTTCGTCTAATGTTCGATTAACGTGAACAAGGTATCTATAAAAAGCTCTTTTTGAGTTCTAACTAATGGCTTAGATTTCACACTCAAATTATTATTCAATCAAAAATTGGACACTCATTTGAAAACTTACCT